TGTGTGAGAGAGTGTGTGTGTAGTATGTGTGCATGTCGAAAGAGGAAAAGCAGCATGAACGTAACAAAAGGAGAAGTAAAACCGGGAAGTGTTTCTGATATCACCAATCAAAAGTCTGACTGAGGTTACATCTGATTCCTCAACAACACTTCCCAGCAGGCAGCGCTGCATTGTCTCACTGTGCTCAGTGCTGTTTATACCTTGAAAATAAAGCTACTTTCTCTTTGGTAATCCCATCAGTAACGTCTACAGGCTGAACACAGTAAAAAGACTTCCTATCGAGCTTGAATGCTTTGATATCAAATACTCCTAACACAAAGGGGTCAGGCGGGCGGAGACTGTCTCTTAATAGAATCCACAGCCGTGTAATGTCGGCTTCATTGCAAGACACTTCATTTCATCCTCACACCATCAGGGGAATAAAAACACACATTAGTGACAGTGTTTCTTCCCTTATCTACTCCCAATAGTAAACATTTGGGGGGTTTTCTAGGCTGTGCAGGTAGGATAAATCCAGACAGGTCAAAGGGTCAAGCTCAGCTATAACGCCCTTGTATGAACACAGCACACTGAAGATCTGTGCAGCCGTCTGAACTGCCTGCACCCATCGGAAGAAATCCAAAATAAGATAATCGGACAAAGGGAAATTGAACTTTTAAACAATCAGACAGACACAGGAAACTCCTACTAGCAAAGATAAGCAGCGGTGTAACAGACACTACTACAAACAAAAGGATCAGGTTGAGCCAAAACCCAAAACCCACAACACACACACACACACACACACAACACACACACAACGACACACACAGACCACACACACACACACACCACAACACAACACACAGATCTTGGAGGGAGTTATTCTGGCTCTCTGTCCCCTGCTGAACCTGTCTTTAATCATCGCTCTCTAACTGCGACCGCACCGCACGCACAGAACTTCCCACAAACCTTCTTTGAACTCCTCCAGCATGGAGTCCAGCTTGGTGTCGTGAACACAAAGTGGACCGGGTGGTAGAACTTGGTGATGGTCTTGAGGGTGGTGCAGTCGTCCGGGTCCACGAAGGCCAGGTCCTTGACAAACAGGATGTCCACGATGTTGGACCGCTCGTCCTCGTACACAGGTATCCTCGTGTATCCGCTCTCCATGATCTCGGACATGGTGTTGAAGTCCAGCACGGCGTCGCTGTGGATCATGAAGCAGTCTCTGATCGGGGTCATGACGGCCTCCACCGTTTTGGTCCTGAGCTCCAGCGCGCCTTGGATCATGTTGAGCTCCTCTTTCACCAGGTCGTTGTAGGGCTCGGTGACTTTGAGCATCTCCACCAGCTTCTCCCGGTTGTACACGGTGCCGATCTCCTGGCCCAGGACGCAGTCGAGGAGCTTGCTGATGGGCCACGACAGAGGGAAGGTTAACAGCATGAACAGCTTGGTGACCATGATGGTGTTGGCCCCGACCGCCAGACCGTGCCGGGAGCAGAGCGCCTGCGGGACGATCTCGCCGAAAATCACGATGCCGACAGTGGAGGCGACCACAGCGCCGATCCCGGACATGGTGAGGTCGTCCAGGAGGATGGTGAGGGTGGTGTTGACCAGCACGTTTCCGAGGAGCAGCGAGCACAGCAGGTAGTTGCCCTTCCTGCGGATGGGCTCGATCTTCCGCGCGTACTTCTTCTCCTTCTCGGTGCCGCAGCTCTGCACGATGCGGAGCTCCATCGGGTCCAGCGCCATCAGCCCCAGGTTGAGCCCGCTGAACATACCGGACAGCACCAGCAGGAAGGCGATGAGGATCACCTGCAGCCAGATGGGCAGCAGGGACTTCTTCTCCTCCACCACCCGCAGCCTGCCGTCCTTGTCGTCCAGCAGGTACCACGTTGGCTCCTTCTCGTCCTGGTCTCGGACGCACAAGCCGAACACCTTCACCGCCTCGCTCTTACGGAGCTGCTTGATCTTCAGGTTAACCACCCCGGAGGTGTTCTGGTTGCTCACCTCCATGGACTCCTTCACTACTATATCCTTCGTGAGTTCGGGACAAGTCCTATTGAAGGGGGCCGTGACTGCGCCGAAAGCGTCGTCCTCTTTGTCGCTGCAGTAAAGTTCCGTGAAGCCGATGAGCTTCCAGCTGTCCGGGGACAAGTGGAGCCCGTAGAACCTGAAGAAGGTGTCGCTGCCCTCGGTCACCTGAATAACCCCCCTCTCGGTGGTCTCGGCCGGCGTGTCGCTCGTCTCCAGCCTCATGCCGAGTATCCGAGTGTCGCCCCTTGACTCCGAAACCACCGCCTCGGTCTGCCGGCCCGCGAAAACACAAGAAAAGACGAATAAAGTCAGCGTAAACCCCCGTCCACTCGAGTCTGTCGCCATGTTTGTTTCGCTCTCTGCGAATGGGGGAACTGACGTCACCTACTCCTTTCCACAGGCCCGCCCACCTCATTTGCATAACCGCATACCTCGGGAATCCAGCCAATCAGCGGCCGGTACGTCACTCGAAGAACTTCCGAGGCGAGCCCCCTCGGTTTTATTTTTAAGGTGGACTGATATGTATTCTTTTAAGGTCGTTTCATTGCCTTTTTATTAGGACTGATTTTATTTATCCTGAAGGATCAACGAGGCCTGTTTCAAAAAACACATCAACACAGTAATAGAACGAATTTTATTCAAATATTATTATTATTACGGTATTAGTAGTAGTATTGATTTTATACTTAATTCATAAAAGCTGAACGATTTGCAATCAAAAATAAGTTATATAAAATGATAAAGTCTCCTGTTGTTGCATGTTTTAGGTGAAGAGTCAATGTTTCATTACAAAAGTAAATTGGATTACGTTCAATAAATTAGATTAAAAACAGTTTTTGGTCTGATTTGATCAGATCAGGACACAACTGAAGGCTATGAGTAACATGTAATGGGGCAATTAGTTCAGATCCATTAGTACAGAAAATAAGCGATCACACAACAAATCACAATCACTGACCCTAACTCCCTGTTAGCATCTGAAATTTACGTTTGTATGACTTTCTAACCGATTACAAAAGAGGGAGGAAGTGTTTGTTTTGTTGTTTTGCAGCTAAAAGAGACTCTTTCACATGTTTTTTTCTCCGTTCATTTGTGATCATGCCTTTCAACATGACACCACTGTAATGAAAATAAGGGACTATATGAACCTATTAATGTAAGTGTGTATCAGAGAGCGATACAACAGAAACACACAGAAAGGAAGGCACTGAGGGAGGAAACAGTGATTTCATATGAGTCATTGCGTCAACTCTTGACCTGTGCATTGTCTGGAAGTCATTACACCATTTTTTTTTTTTTAACAAAGACACTAAATGCTAGAAGACAAACTTTTGGATGTTTTTCTTCAACTAGCAAACACTGAATACCTGCTCTGTTCTGTAGCTACACCTAAAAGGAAATACACTTAACTACAGCTAAGAACTTTATATGAAAAATATTTAAGAATTATCAGAGTGAAGAAGACACAGCAATCAAACTGCAGTGATTTTATTCTGAATATCTTCTTTTCCTTTGGTAAGAACAGTATATAAATGTCTTTACTGAGAACAGAGCTCCATCTTGTGCTCAAACCACCATAGTGCAGCCTGATGGGCAGCTGTGAAAACTGTGAAATAGATGATATTCAGATAGAAACCAGTTCTACTGTCTCACATAGTGTTAATGAGGCTTAAAATTGTCCTAATGATACAGAGTCATTGATGCAGTTATTAGCGTCATTCAGTGGCAGACTGGCTGTCTGAATAAAATAAAAAGAGCACCACTGTGCAGCAAATTGTGATGCTTGAACTTAGTCAAGGTTAGGATTAGCACCCAGGGGGCACTTTATCATAGATAGAGCAGTTCAGTTTAAGGGGGCGATGAGGTCTGAATGATTTTTTAGGATTGTTATGATGGTAATGGTTTCTTGTCAGTTACAGACAATTGCAGTTAGTTCTTCATATGCAAGAATCCTGTAAAATAAAAGTACATGATACAAATGTAGAGATCCAGGTTAAAGACAAATCTGATTTGATCTCTTTCAGCAAATTCCTTGTTGTTGTATAATATTTAATATATTTTCAATAAAATATGGCTTACTGTGTAGAATAGACCAAACAGTGACTGCTGATGTAATAATTCACCTGTTTACTGTGTGTGACATGAAACTGAAATTACTGTTGACTGTCAGACATATTTATATATTATTTCACTTTTATCTGGATGAGCAAACTCAGTCACCGTCATTATTTGTGCTTCTTTGACGGTATTCTGCAGAATTTGTTTGATTGTTACATCCAGTGATATACCGGATGAACTGGTTATAATTTCCTGTTTGATATACATTTTTCATATACCACCATATGATGCATAGTCGAAACAACTGCAATAGAATATTTTCAGAAATATCTCCTTGAATATTTAAATACTTTAAGTATTTTATGTCAATTTTATGCTTATAATCTTTGTACTATTTGAAAATATTTTGTTTTGAAAAGGAAGGAATGTTAAAGTTGTTGGTATGTCAGCTTAAGTTCAGTTTTTACTACGTTGCAGTTTGCTCAATAAAAAAAACGATAACATTAGGATTCTTTCATATATTGCATTATATTGTCTCTAATCAAAGTCTTCAGTATATACGTAATGACACAAGGAAATTGTGTCGTTCTGAATCCAGAGGACAATGACATCCTGACACCTCCATCTGCTGGTGGCAAAATGACATGACAGCATTTCTTACAAGTAATAATTAACTCTGTGACTGGTAAAAGAAAGTGAAAGCAGATTCTGACATTGTTGAACAGAGCTGAGACGCCATTACAGGGTGTGAGATATCTGCTGGAAAACACACATTTGGAATATTTTAAACAATCAAGAGACAGTAACTTGGTGAGTCCGGCTGTTATAAATATCTTCAATAACAAATGGCTGAGAAAACTGCTCTTCTTGAAAGTTTCCTGAACTGCCATGTGTGTTCAGAGACTTTCAGAGATCCTGTGTCTCTGACCTGCAACCACAGCTTCTGTTCAAGCTGCCTGAAAAAATTCTGGGAACAAGCTAAAAACAAAAACTGTCCCATCTGTAAAAGAAAATCCTCAAAAGAAAATCCTGGGGTTGACTTTGCACTGAAGGAGCTGGCTGACTCCTTTGCTGGGAGACAGAAATCTGGATCCTCTGAATCATCTGAGAACAGAAAAAGGAGAGAAGAAGGTTGAGGTGGTGTGTGATAAACATCAAAAGGAGCCTAAAATTGTTCTGTAAGGATGAAGATAGAGCTGTGTGTACTGTCTGTGAATTTTTCTCCCACCACGTCGGTCACAAGGTGGTTCCTATAGAACAAGGCAATCCATTGAACCTGAAGGACCAGCTGAAATCTGACTTAAAGTCTCTACAGGACAAGAGGGACAAATACAAACAAGTGGAGAAAACATACAATGAAGTGGATTCACACTCCAAAGAGAGCAGCTGTTGTCCACAGAGACGCAGAATCAGAGGCAGAGTTCAAGCAAGCTCCACCAGTTCCTGAAAGAGGAAGAGGAGTCCAGACTGGCAGCTCTGGAGGGAGGAAGGAGGAGCGAAGGGGGAAGACTGTCAGCAGAGAGATGAAGAGGATTGAGGAGCAGATCTCCTCCTCTGTCAAGACAGTATCTCTGCTGTTGAAGAAGAGCTGCAGAAACACAACGTGCCATTCCTCCCGCAGTTAATAAACCCACTCAGACCAGAGCCAGAGTCCAGTGCTCAGACAGATCCACAGCTGGTCTCAGGAGCGTCTGGATAGATGTGCGAACACCTGGGCAACCTGTCCTTCAGAGAGTTCTGGAGAAAGATGAAGGACAAGGTCCACTTCAGTCCTGTCATTTGGACCCAAACGACTGCAAACCGCTGGCTCTATCTGTCCTGACGATCTGACCAGTGTGAGATGTGGAGGACACAGACCAGCAGCTTCCTGACAATCCAGAGAGAACACTAAGTATCCCAATGTTCTGGGCTCTGAGGGGTTTCCAGGCTCAGGGAAACACAGGCTGGGAGGTGGAGTGGGAGATCATCCTGGACTTGGAAATATAGGTTTGGCTAAAGGAAGAAGGGGGAGTTATTGATCACACCAAAAATGGAGTCTGGTGTGGGTTATTTTCATCACAGTGGATAAAAGTACAGCTAATGGTGCTTGGTAAGACTGTCTGAAGAAGAGTCTCCAGAAGATCAGAGTCCAGCTGGACTATGACAGAGGAGAGGTGTCCTTCTACGACCCTGAACACATGACTCACATCTGCACTCACAGAGACACTTTCACTGAGAAACTCTTCCCATATTTCAGTGTTGGAGCAGCTGTTGACGTTTTGGGGTGCGGTGAGTTCTGAATGATCTTTTAGGATTTTTGTAATTATGGTGGTTTCTGGTCAGTTACAGACAATTGCAGTTAGTTCATGAGGTGAAAATCCTGTCAATTTCAAAAGAACCATTAAAGAATTTTCATTATGTAAGGGATAATGCCCGACAAGGTGTCCATTATCGTGACATTATTATGCTATTATGACACCTCTTCGGGCATTATCCCTTACATATATTAGAGACATATAATGAGAAACTGAAGCATAACTGAATGTTGATGTAATAATTCACCTGTTATTTGATTGCCATGAAACACAGATTACTGTTGACTGCCTATATATTCTTATTAACTGAATCTCACAGCTTATATTATATTAAAATTGAATAGATCCATCAAATATTGACCTTACAGTAATTTGGACTAAAGGTTCAACTAAAGACTATTTCTATTATCAATTAATTTGATAGAATTAAATTTTGCCAATAAAATTACAGAAAATAACACTCAAATTTGAGCAAGTGTTTTAAAATTTTTGCTCATTCCCAATAATATGTATTAAAATGTTGACTACAAAGCCCTGACCTTGTCTTTGAATTGTGGATGTAATTTTAAAGGTTGCAGTCAGCGGTCACCTTAATCTTGATCTCTAACATGGATCTTTGTGTTTAGGATCGCATAGCAGAATTAATTTCATTATTCTCAAACATTTATTAAAACAGAGCTGCTGTTTGTTCCTGTGTCTCTTTAACAGTGGATTCAACTTGTATGTGTTCTACCTGGTTAGCAAATACAGTTAATTTATGTCCTGAGTTACTAAAATAAATCAATAAATGGATAATAAATAAATAAAAATCAAAGATGTTATTTTTATGTTTGTGGACACAGAAACCGATTCACTTTTCTATTTAAATGATCATTTTATTGATAACACCTTAACACATTTTC